AGTTAAAGGAAGAGGCACACAAAAAACATTAATTTCGAACCGTGTTGCTTTATATTATTATTGGGCATAGTTGAGCTTCTTTAATAATGGATGTTATTTTAAATTTTTTCAATTATGCGCTGCATCTGAAACCTTATACGTTCCAATAAAATTTCTATATCTTTTCCAAGTATTGAAACAATGCGTTGCATTGTTTACCCCTTTTTGTCTCTCCCTTTTCTCTCTTTAATTTCTGCACCTTTTTGTGTTACAAATTAACGACTTTGGCCATAAAATGTCATAAAACATATTTGCTAATTAATTATGGAGGCAAATGTCTCTTTTATGGTCAGAGCCCATAAAATTTTATGGCATTGCAGGTGTACGAAAAATGAAAATAAACAAACCGCAAGCCCGTTAACCGTAAGTTGACCAGCCCCGCCTAAATGCCAGTGACCAGTTCGGGGGGCTTTTGCCGGCCATTAAGGTGTGAAAAGTTCATAATTTCGGCCTTTGAGCCCTATTCAACGTTTGATTGAGTAATTGAGCGAATGACTGGCGACAGGCTGATTCAGTATACAACAATTTCTCTTGGCAAATATTCCAATTAATGTTAGTCTAAAAAGTGCGCCAAAAATAGGCAATAAAGGCTTGGCTAGCCTGTGTTGTCTCAAGCGCTTGTTAATTACTTTTTAGCTCAGATAATTGCAGCAACGCCTTCGCATCGCACAGTTGCAAATGTATCTGGTGGATTGTGTGGCTTATTTTGATTGCTTGGCGTCATACTTTTTGCTTAGGCTGTGCACAAAACGGAAGCTAATTATTAGCTTGGCCATCAGCACAACTAACAAACGGCATTTTAATTGAGCTGACATATATGTGTGTGTGCCTGCTGTGTGTGTGTGTGTTTGCTGTGCTACTTGCTGGTATTTATGACAGCTGACCAAGGAGCACTTGTCCACAGATAAAGATATATGTGCACACACATAAATGCCCAAAACATGAGCTCACTTTGAGGTACTTGGACACATCTGGCATGCCAGCTGTGCATGTGGGCGTGACAATATGCAAAACGACAATTGAACCTGCAAGTTAAGATTTGTTGTGACACATTCTAAGGCTCAGTCTGCTGCTGCTGCGGCTGCTGATGGCATTGTTGTGGTTAGCTGCCAACTCATGTGGTTTGCTCGGAGTTAATAGATTCATCTAGTGGACTGTATAATATGCCCAAAGATGCTGCTGCACCTGCCAGGTAGCACTTGATTATAATTGAAAACACTTAAAGAACTCAGAAATGGTTAGGAAGTTATTCGAGTGTTTTAACAGTAGAGCCTTTCCATAGAAACTACATATTTGATATGCTCCTCCTAATAGCAGCACAGCAATGCCTAGCTGCTTGGTGTAACACATTTCGCAATAGAATTAAAACGATTGCACAAATTCGTATATTTAGTCCCACTCCAATTGTTGAGGATTCGGTGTTCGGTTCTAAACTTTGAGTTTCGCATCCTCAAGCTGATTATCCACATGAAGTAACATAATTTGTGGTTCAAGCATTGGTTTCTCATGTATCAAAATCATAAGGAAACATTTGAATCTTTAGTTATTAATTGTGCTTTTTGCTGAAATTTCAAATTGATAAATTTTGTCTTCATATTAAGTTGGCAACTGCCAAGTAGGCTTGGATAAATAGAATCTTAGATAAATACTATGATTGAGACCTAAATCATTTATGCGGTTCGAGTTTCAGTTAGATTGTTTCTTTTGCAACTGGCTGAGTTTAATGTTCGGCTTAAGTAAAAACATTTGATTGTTTGGGTCAGAATTATGCTTAGCACCGATTTATATTAAAGCAATACAATTTCTCTACCGAATCTCAAGTTTCTGCTCCCGCATGATTATAATTTCACATTTGCGATTGCAGCTAGTTAAGAACCGCAAATTTAATCAACTGCCTGCCCAACTCTCTCTCTCTCTCTCTCTTTCGAAATGAGCCACATAAATCAATAACAAACACACACAACTGCATTGACCCAGTCCATTAGCCGGCAGCATTGACCACAACTAGATTATAGAGCCTGCTTTGCGCCGGGTCCTGGGCTCAATTATGAATACCTACGGGTTTCTTCCACACAAGTTTATACCAGAGAATGCGCTAGTTTCCATTGGGCGCAACAATTGTTGGTCAGCCGCATGGAAAATTGAACCAAGAACCTATCAAATGGTGGTCATGTGAGCGAGGGGCAGCAAATTTTCTAATAGCAATTTAGTTGGGACAGCACGTTTAATTTGCAGCGACAAGGATGCCACATACAACTAGCTGCCATGTCAAGTGCCAAAGGAAGAAAAACAAAGGAAAAAACGAAAGAAAAACCAACAAGAGGAGTCACAACATGGACAACATGCATGTACATGACACGGGAGCATGGCAACATGGACATGGCGCCAACATTCGAGTATTCGGTTTAGAGCGGGCGCCACTCAAATTGCGTAGAATGTACTACAATCCCGCCCCCACTCCCCCACTCAAGTGGTGCAACAATTTGAGTTGCCAAGTGCTTGGACTATTGATTTTTTTCTACCATTGTTGTTTTGGACATACTTAACATGTGGGTCTGTCACGAATTGTTTTGGATTTAGCTAAACATAAGTGCATAGGCGGGTTGCCACTCGTGTTATCAGCTACCACTCGAAATGCCACACTTAAAGTTGGGACCGCTTATCAGCAGCTAGCTTCTGTTAAAGCTTGCCTTGTCCCTGGCTGAAACGCGAGGTCTGGGTCTCGGTCGGGGCTGTGGCTTTGGCTCTGGGCATTCATAAATCCCATTTGGCGGGCAGCAATTGCAGTCGTCTGCGGTCTCTGCAAAAATATGCAATTCAGCATAAATGTGAGCGTCGGGGCAGGGAGTTGGGCGCAGATTCAAGGGGCTGGGGCATATCGAATTCAGTGCCTCCGGATGCGGTGTTATTGTGGGTGAGTCGCTGCCAGTTGGCAACAGCTGTGCACAGACACACACCTTGATGGTTTCTGGGCTTAAGGTTGGGCTGCCTTTTTGCTTTGTACAACTTAAATTTAGCGTGAACTTTGCAAACTCCGCTGCTGCTGTTGCTTCTTCTTCTGCCTGGCTAAGCCGTCGGAAAGGAAAGTGAAAAATCTGCTCAAGGTTTGTAAAGACTTCCTTTGCATTGTGGTTCTGGTGGTTCCATTTGCCAATGCTGGAAATAATAGCACAGAGCGCAAGTTGAATGTGCCCAAAAGTGTTGGGTGTTAAGGCAAATGTTGCCGGGGCAGGCAGTGGGTTATAGGGGGGCAAAACAAATTGGTTTCTGGTTTGAGTGCAACATATGAAAAACTTTCAATCAATCCTGCATGAAAAGGACTTTTTTTATGGAGACTTTAGATAAAAACAGCTAGAAAGGTTAGAAACTGTAAAGAAATGTATCATAATATATGCAGCTGATATTATGAATAAGTTCTTCAAATCATTTTGTTTAGCAGATGCTCGACTCCTTTGTCCTGTCTCTTACTGATTTATTTCTAATCTGAGGAATCTGGCGATACAAACTCTTTGCCCAGATGTGCATAGCATATTTGTCTACCTTCTTGACTAAGCAATGCTCCGTCAGGTGGGCCATCATAATTTCTACCTCTCAAGCGAAGCATCAATAGGCAGCTAAGCTTATCAAGAGTGCCTTGGCTGATTCCTTCTACAAAAAAGATGCCACCATGGACTTGCTGGCGATTTCTACAGAAAGTTTCCAGACAAATTGCCTATCCAATGTGAAGGTCTATTTCTTATGGCATTGCCCATGGAGTCCAATTATTTAATTGAACATTGACTTAAACTGAGACGTGAGGCCAAAGCCCCAATGCCAATAGCAAAGCCATTGCGAACTGTAATTTGTAATTGAGCTTACAAGCAATCCAATTGATTTCTAGGTTTTCAATTATGATTGGACTTCTGCTCTATGTTTACTGAACTAAACCGATTTGCAGCTTACGCTCACATCCGCCACACACACAAACACATGCTCGCATTCGCTCACAAATTGCGTTTGACTTTGCGAACCTTTCTCCGACTTTGTTGGCTTTTGGTCGGGAGTTAGCTCCAATTTCCTACCGGCGGCTTCTTTGTTCTAGCGTCTTTTTAATGGTTTTGGCCCCGGCCTGTGGCCACGTGCAGTGGCTCGTTTGGTGGCAACTGTAAACGGGTTTTCCATTTTTAACCACCGCACATACTACATATGCCACGGCAGCGACTGCGACTGCGGCAGCATTGCAATTAGTCTGGCTAAAGTCGTGCCTAACGGTGAAAAGCATATGGCCCCATCTTAAGTCTACGATCTACACCACAGCCATGCCTCATAACTACAACAGCCCCCTAATCGCATCAAGCTCGTGAGATTTACAGCGATAATGTCGGCTCAACTGATAGATTACCAGGCAGCTTTTGGCCCCGGCAACAGTTCAGCGGATTTTGTGCAACACAAAAGCTGCTTTTTCAGTTTTGAGTTAAGAATTTGTAGCTTCCAAATGGATTTCCTATGTTTTGATAGCAAGTTTCATTTTTTGTATACCCATCGAACGCGGTTAAAACAGGGCATATTGCACTAGAATACACTTTTGTAACATGTCTAAGCCACAAGAGAGAGCTAAAAATGTATATATATATAAACTATTTTACTTCGATAACCTTTTGGGTTTACATCGATAACTATCGATTTGTAGAATGTTATATTTACTTTTTATTGTGATAGTGAGTTACCAAAGTTTGCATTTTTATATGAGAAAATGGGAATTCCCCATAAGTATTGGATGATATTAACTTGACTAAAGCTTTAATTTTGCATATCGATTGAAATATGAGTTTTGTTTTTTATTATTTTAATATTGCAGAAGAAAAGGCAGCTCACAACTGGCTGTAGGGTATCATAAAGTCGATCAATCTTTAACTACAGCACTCGTTTGTTTGTTAATAAATATTTAATAATTTTTTTTTTTATATCGTGTTTTATTGCAGATTAATTGCATTTGGAAGCTGGCACAATCGAGTGGTAAGAACCATATTTCCAAAAATTAAAGATATTAATATACATTTAAGCAAAAATGTTCATAATCAGCTTTTGTAAAATTATTGAAAATTTTCTGTTAACTTGATCGAAAACTTTCCAAGTTGTATTTCGCAACTTTATTAGCTGCCAGTCTGCCGTATACGGACGTTTCTCTCCATAAACCAAACGTAACCCAGGTGGCAACTAAATCGAACTGCCACAGGCTGTAGCCATCAGTAGATGTTGCACCTTATATGCTGTGCAACTTTGATGGCGGCGCCATTTTTGGGCAGTTACCATATTTTTCGCGGATCTGTACCAGGCATAGCTCCAGAGGGGCTTACATCATTGCTTGCTTGGCCCAAGCCGGGCTGTCAATTAGCGACGCGTTTTAAACGACTTCATTAGCATCAATCCTAATTGAATAATGATCGAGGCTGCTTGTAAATTCAGCGAGAAGTTGTCAGGGAATCGTCAAGAATCGTCTCCTTTTTACCATTTTGCGCTTATTATTATTATTTGTGCGCGGCCCTCGGTTCGTGTCAAGTTGACCGTGCGACAAACTTAAGTAGCATGAATTATGCGGCAGTCAGACAAGTCCAAAGTGGCAGCTACAACGGTTATGTCTGTATTTTTGTTGTTGTTCGTTTGTTTGTATCTATATCTGCATTTTGTATCTGCATCTGCATCTACAGTTTGCGTCGCGCAGCGTCGCGTTTTGTGCTGAGCAAATTGTGGGCAATCATTGTCAATTTACAATGCATATACAAAACTGCCTTCTAGTTGTGCTTGTCCAATGAAAGAAAGTAAGCTGTAGCTACAGTGGAGCTTGAAAGGAAGATAGACAAAATAAGGTTTTGCAGAAACTGCTATCTCTACAATCGAACAAAATGACAAGTTTTCTACTCAAATAAAGTATAAAAGTAAAGCACACATGTTCACATCAAGAACTCTTTTTATTCAGTTTAACAATTGCAAGCTATATTAGACTTAAAATTGTTTTACGCTTGCTCTAAGCATGCAAATTCTTGTTGCAATTTGTTTGTGCCTTATTCCAATTTCAAAACTAATATTACAATCCAATTTCTGCCATTTTTATATATTGTTAAATTACAATTCGTAATATCATTAACTCTCCATCTTGTAACTAGAAAGTTAAAAGTTGTATCTCACTCTCAAGCAGTTCTTGCTTTAAGCCTAGTCTGCTTTAGACAGGCTTTACTGTGCCCGCATAGTCTGATGCTTGAACAATTGTCAGGCGCACCTTGAACTACAAGCGGGCTACATGTGAATGTCAAACCGGCGTCGCTAACGGAGACAAGCGGTAGCTTTTGGGGCCACGCCGGGTTCTCGAGGCTCGCGCGTCGCGTTTTTATCCAAGCGCTGAGATCAGACAGACTGAAGTTGTAGTTGTTTGTAGATGTTGTTGATGGGGTCGCTAGGGGTACGTATGCTTTTATTTACCTTGTCTGCTTTTTTCTATATGCCCTTGTTTAGGGTATACAAATTTTGTCATGTAATGTGTAACGCATCGGAGATTTCTCGGATCTTATAAGTAGTATATATTCCTTGATCAGTATCAACCGAGTCGATATAGTCATTGCTGCATGTTCTTTTCAATGCAAGCTATTCTCTCAATTTAAAAGTTACTTTTCTGAAACAGTCTGCGTTTACGAGTCGAACCACTATATCATATAATAGTCATTGGAACGATTGGTTAAAAATACATTTTTTTTATAAAAGGTTGTTTTTTCAAGATTCCCAAACTAATCATATACTTATTCTAACCTGTTCAACATAGATGAACCAAATCTTTTCCAAATCGGACTACTATATCATATAGCTTTGTAGAAAAAATTATTTCAACTATTACGAGCTTTTCAAAATTCCGGGAGAACCCAATTGCAAAACCGTATAAAATTGGACTACCATATTATATGGTTACTATCAATCAATCTTTGCTAAAGCACATGTCTAACAGGCTCTTTAATGTTCGGTTTCTTATATTATATTATATATTATAATACATGTCGGGAAGGGTATTCAATCTTCGGCTTATTACTTGTTTTTGCAAGTATTTGCCCCTCACTTTGTCGCCCAAACAAACTTTTCACGCTTTTAGTTGCAGTTTTGAATTTTTTTCGTTATACACTTTTGTTGTTGTTGTCTGCGTCTGTTTTCATAAGCAAATTTGTATGTTTTGTGCGTTTGCTGTTTGCAAGTTTTATTGCTTTTATTTATTTGTTTTCTCGCCCGAACATAAATCCAATTGCTTAAATAAATAGCTCGCAGGCAGAGTCAAATGCAGATGCAAAAAGTCGGGCTTTGGACTGGAGTGAGGGGGCAGCCTACTCGAATCGGGGGTGGGCGCCAAAAAAATAAGCCCCGAAACCAAAAACGAACCTCCAAATTGTCGACAGCTGCTGTCAGTGATTAATTTTCATGTGGCGACGCTATGCATACATATTTATTCAAATTTACGGGTATTTTTTTAGCACGACATTTGTACAATTTGATGTACACATCAAATTTACGAGTCTCAATGAGTGTGGCTTGCGAAATGGGCTTAATTCTGGGCGAGAGCCTTCAATATGTGTACACAAATGTTTATTAAAAGCATGTAGAAACAAATTCACGAGCTTGAGGAGATACCCTGTAGTTCAGTGTTTGTCCTGATTGACTGATGTATGCCCAGTCCACAATGATTACCGTGTGTGTGCAGCAAGTGAATACAAAGACTGCATTTTGCTAAATTTCTTCCCGTTGGAGAATGTATGGAAAGGGCACAAAGGAAAATTAGTTTGCTTTTTTGTCAATCACATTTTTAAATATCTGTACAAAAATATTACTTAAAATTGTGTTTCTTTTTTTGAGATTGAATAACATGATTATTATTATTGAAAAATTAAAGAAGTGAAACGTTCCCATCACGAATATTCCAAGTTTTTTTCATGCCCAACATATCTTTGAGCACATACTTCGAGCACACTTCCTTAATATATCGTTTGACAAAAGAAAATGATGCACCCCTTAGAAATTTCCTTTGAGTTCCTGTAACCGCATTCCTTATGAACAAGAAGTATTAAGCGTGTAATTTGATATGTACTCAATAACTTAACCCACTTATCCACTGCCACAGTGCGTGCCACTTGGTGGTAAGTTTGCGGGCAGAAGTGGATGCTCCACTCTTGGGCGACGCCGCTTATCGCGTTTAATGCGGCATATCATGCACTTGGTTGTAGTTCAAACACGCCCGCACACACACCCGCACGCACACTCCTCTTAGTTTGGGACAATGCCCACACTTGGCGCACGCCCACTCCACAGGGAATCCGCGCCGAGTGCAGTTCCGGGCCATTAGCTGCTCGCTCAGCACAAAGTTACATAAGTATCTTTGTATCTATCGGATGCGTTTGTCTGAAGATGCGTGTGTCAATGTTGTCAAACGGTGTCATCAGCCTTAGTTGTGGAGTGACATTCTGGCTGCACGTCTAATAACATTTGATGTCAAGTGTCACACACACTGTGCTCTATATTTTATTTTTATTTTTATCTATGTGATATCACGATATCTGAACCATCTCCTGCCGCCAGCTCAATTAGTAAATGCAGTGACTGTGTCGCATTGCTGACCCAGTCAAACTCAATTATATAATTGCTGCGCGCGCGCTGACATTTTTCTCTAATTGCAATGCCAAATGGGTAGCAGTAGCCGCCCGTTGTGGCATGTTAGCGTCAATTGAATGGGGCGTGTCTGCTGCCACAACTGCAGGCCGGGCAGAGCGCCACCTGGCGTCCAGTAGCTGACATCAGCTGCATTCCTTTGCCCAAGTCCCGCGTGCTGCTTGCTTTTGTGTTCTCTTGTGATTAATCAAATTGTTGCATGCAAATTCTTGCACATATTCTGCATTCTAATCAACTGAATTTATTCGAGCATTTCCTCGGTCTGTGCAACATTCTGCGGCATTTCCTGTGCATTCCTTTGGAACGCTTTGTTGCTACACTTTGTCGCTTCTTGTTGCGGAATCATGTACATGCAAAAGCTCACGTCCTCTGCAGCTACAGAGATCTATTTATAGCATTCCTATATCAGTTATTAAATAGTAAAACATGTAACTGGATAATCACCAATTGTGCTAATAAATTTCCAGTATTTCTTCCGGAACATTTAATATAGTAACTCGAGCCCATGTTGTGTAATATTCATATCTCTATATATAAAGCTGTTTGTGCTGACTGGGTCACGGATTTGGTGGGTGACGTCTTATGTTCAAATGCATTTTCAAGGATCCTTATGAAAAATCATTTGAGACGTGTTGCAACGCCTCTTCTCAACGCTTTCTCAGTGGAAAGAGGGATTTTAGTTTTTTCTTTTTTGCTTCAAACTTAGAAATGTCTTTCAGCGATCTTTCACACGCAGCAATGTGTAAGATGGCGGACAAGCTATTTGTTTATCAGATTATTCTAAAATTTAATTTTCACGGGCAAGGCCCGGGTATACACGCTAGTATTTAAACGAACATCCATAATAAAAGTAAATGTCATCAAATCGTTCAGGTCTTGACTAAGATGTCTCTTTAATTTGTAAGGTGCTAACCTTGGGGGATTTACTTAATACCTAATAGCTGGTTACATTACTTATAAAACAAGCTACTTTATAGCTTCCTCTCAATTGTGTCTCGAGAAACGAGTCGTGTTGTACAGCGACTTGTTTAATTCATTCGTTATCCGCAAATAGAGGCCACAAATTTGCATTTTTTGTGAAAATTTATGCTGATTGTGGCAGTGGCGCCAAGAAATTGCCGTTGTCTGTGCAACACACACAGCGCAACAAGAGGCGACACCAAACGAGGCATGATGGTGGTCAGCTGGACATTTCGACATGTCCAATTCATGCCTTTGCCACTTGAGTTGATAGAACGCGCAGCTAGGCGTATATTATTATATACTAGCTGTTGCATAGTTGGGGGCGAGTGGAACCTTTTATTGTTTTTTTTTTTTTT